ATATATATATATATATATATATATATCAGGATCATTTTCATTATTCAAGATGATTTTCATCCTCTCTAACCTTGTAACTTTCTGCGCTGGAGTAATAAGGTGCCTCACACATTTCACATACAATTTCATTTTCACTGCTATTTGGACTGTCATAGCTGAAACTCCTCTCTCATGTCTCAAACATCTTATGGATTGAGTTGGATCTTTTCTAATTGATATCTATTGCTCTAAGTTGAAATGATGATCCCTTTTTCTGTTGTGACCTCCCAATTCAGTTTCCCTCACTACTGTTCCCTTTTTCTTTAAACTTATTCACCATTCTCCTGATGGACTTTGAAGATGGAAGCCAGAGTATGAATTTTGATACCATTATAGAAGGCTTGAATTATCTTTTTCCTCTCAACACTGTTCAGTTGGGAAAACAGTGGAGCTGACACAAAATGATTTTAACCAATTCTATTTCTAACTGAATAACTCAAAGAGTTTTTCAGTGATTCTTATGACAAAATGGCTAAATGCCTTATCTGAAAACCCGGAAAAGAGAAACTCAATTAGTTTAGTGGATTTTTAGATATTAAAAGTTTTGTAGGATGTATTAATTATGCTGTTACACGATTTGGACAATTTTGCTGTTACACCCAGTATATATATATATATATATATATATATATATATATATATATATATATATATATATATCAACAAAATCATAACTTACTGAGAGAACCCAATTACTATTAATGAGTAAGACGGTAGAATGTATCTGAAGAAAACGGGGAAAAAATGTGCTTCTGACAGTTTATCTACAAGTTTGATATATAACAGCTTACTGGTTGAATTTAAAACTTGTTTTTTATATATATATATATATATATATATATATATATATATATATATATATATAAGTCATCCACAGACAGACTGTTTCGCTGTTTCACAGCTCTTCAGTGTGGCTAGACATCTGATTGCCTATAATGTTAGGGGTGTCACATTTTTTCAACTTTACTCTTAGAGGCTGTAGTCGAACATATTATGCCATTATATCATCAGGCCAACTGTGGGCAAATTAAAAACATCCCAGGCCAAATCCAGGCCCACAATCCTGAAATTTTGTTTTCCTAAATTTTCATTACTGCAATTTTTTTTTGATTTTTTTTTTTACATGATGTTTTGGCGACTAATATTTTGTGCAATAACAATTTTTAGAACTTGGAAATAAATTTGGGAATAATCGAAATTAAATGTGAAATCCAATGAAAGTCACCCATGAAATAAAAATAATTGTTTGTACGGAAAGTAAGGACCTACGTACATCAAATTGTCTTTAAATTAAGTAGTGGCAGAAGAATTATTATCAAACTTTTAAAAAGTAAGCGTAAATATTGATGCAATATTTAAATTTAGCAATCTATTTTGAGTTCTTCTGTAGTTTATTGTTGCCTATCACATTTACTGCTCCCTACCTATTGAGATGAAGGCAAAATCAGGAGACCTCTGCAGAAAATAGCTTAAATGCCACCGAATAGGGTGGCTTTTAAGCTAGTATATATACATATTTTACATAAAAATGAAACTCAATTGGACCCCATTGATATGGCCATTTTGCTCCTCAAGATAAATTCCCTGGAGATTATCAATATTAAAATGTTTGATAAAAAAATGAATTGTAACGTTTTCTTATAATTTTTTAAAATTTGAAACATAAAAAAGGAACGAGAAAGAAAAAAAGAGAAGAACAAGAAAGAAAAAAGAGAAGAAAATAGAGGAACAAACCTCCTTTATATATATATATATATATATATATATATATATATATATATGAAAAGTGTATATAAATATAAATATATATATATATGTATAATTATTTATATATTATATGCGCGGTACTTATTAGAAAGCGCTCAATATCAGAGATAGAGCTAACATATTTGGTTGGATAGATGTGAGTTTGTGACCCTGGGTTTCACGCTTTAGCGATCGTCAGACAACGTCTGACGATTGCTAAAACGTGAAACCCAATAAACTCACATCTATCCAACTAAATATATATATATATATATATATATATATATATATATATATATATATAGATAGATAGATAGATAGATAATAAAATGAAGAATGCAAGCCAACTTTACAAAATATGACCAATTATCAGATTTTTATATTTTGAACAGTTGCTTTAGTAGGACAAGAATTTTCAGCACTCACTCTCTGTCTCTCTCAAATATATATATATATATATATATATATATATATATATATATATATATATATATATATTAGTTTCTGCTTCCTATTATGACAAAGCAACCTGATATACTTTTCATATTTTTGATAAACGGGCAACATTTTCACAGCTTTGAATCTTGCCAAAAGATTTCTCAGGATCATAGGAGGAGAGCAGAACAAAGGTCGCCTGGGACAGTTCAGTGTCGGGAGGGCAAAGGGAATCTTTGAAACATTAACTCATCTCTCAGTGTCTTGGTATCAAGAAACAATGAAGGGCATATCTACTATCAAAGATGGTTCATGCTTGCGCAGATATTATCAATTCATCACAGTGGTCTTGCAGAATGGGGAAAAGATTGAGTAAGCATTTGAAATCAAAGAAGGGACGGACAGGGTGTAGGGCTCTAGGGTTTGGGTAGTCATGGCGCTGGGATGGGAAAAATAAGGCTTGCCTCAGCATAAGTGCGGAGAGACACTGGCAGATCTGAAATATGGTTCATGTCAGCTTCTATGTTTGTGGTGAGTTGACTTTTGCCAACAAGATGTAATATATCAAAAGTATAAAATCGACAGTATTTCATGGACTCTTCTTGTACATTCGTTCTTTTGATTTTTGACTACAGTCTCGAGATTGAATGAAATCAGAAAATGAAACAGAGTCTTTAGAAGACTCTAGTTTTCTTTTCTTTTTTAAATACTTTTCTTTCTTTTTCTAAAAATTTTATTCTTTGCTAACTTATTTTATTCATTTCCTTCTTTGCGTATTTATTTTTATCTTTTTTCTTCCTCCCTGTCAGTTCATCTTTATACTTACTTTAAGGAGTTATTTTCTCGATGTCTTTTTCATTTTTCTTTCCCTATATTTAATTCCCTTTCACATTCATTATGGCATTTCCTTTTGCCTTCCCTCCTTTCGGTCTTTCCTTCTGTCTTTCCTCATTTCTGCGTTTCCTTTCGGCATTTTCTTCTGTCTTTCCTCCTTTCGGCATTTCCTTCTGCCTTTCCTCATTTCAGCATTTCCTTTCGGCATTTCCTTCTACCTCTACTTCTGTCTTTCCTCCTTTCGGCATTTCCTTCTGTCTTTCCTCCTTTCGGCATTTCCTTCTGCCTTTTCTCCTTTCGGCATTTCCTTTCGGCCTCTCCTACCTCTACTTCTGTCTTTCCTCTTTTCAGCATTTCCTTTCGGCATTTCCTTCTGTCTTTCCTCTTTTCGGCATTTCCTTCTGCCACTCCTCTTTTCGGCATTTCCTTTTGCCTTTCCTCCTATTTACCTCTACTTCTGTCTTTCCTCCTTTCGGCATTTCCTTTCGGCGTTTCCTTTCTGCCTTTCCTCCATTCGGCCTTTCCTTATGCATTTCCTCCTCCTTTCGGCCTTTCCTTCTGTCTTTCCTCATTTCGGCGTTTCCTTTCAGCATTTCCTTCTGCATTTCCTCATTTCGGCATTTCCTTCTGCCTTTCCTCCATTCGGCATTTCTTTTTGGCCTTTCCTTCTAACTCTACTTCTGTCTTTCCTCCTTTCGGCATTTCCTTTCAGCCTTTCCTTCTGCCTTTCCTCTTTTTGGCCTTTCATTTTGCATTTCTCCTTTCAGCTTTTCCTTTTGCCTTTCCTCCTATCTACCTTTCCTTCAGTCTTTCCTACTTTCGGCATTTCATTCCGGCATTTTTATCCTTTTGGCCTTTCCTTCTGTCTTTCGCCATTTCCTTTCGGTATTTCCTCCTTTCGGCCTTTCCTTTTTGCTTCCTCCTATCTACTTTTCCTTCTGTCTTTCCTCCTTTCAGCATTTCCTTTCGGCCTTTCCTTCTGCCTCTCCTCCTTTCGGCCTTTCCTTCTGCCTTTCCTCCTTTCGGCCTTTCCTTCTGCCTCTCCTCCTCCTTTCGACCTTTCCTTCTGCCTTTCCTCCTCTCGACTTTTTTTTGCCTTTCTTTTTCTTTTTTTTCACTTTTCCTTCTTTCTTAATATTTACTTCTTCTCATTTTCATAAATGTCTTTCCTTCTGTTCTTCTAAGCCTTTCCCTCCCTTTTGGGTTCATTTCTCGTTTCTGAATTTTTCATTTCTAATCGGTCTTTTAATTGATTTTTCTTTCTTAATCAATGTTCATATTTCTTCTTGCTTTCTTAAATGATTTTACTTTCCTAAAAGTTTTTTCTTTCACTATATCTGCTTTTCTCTTCTGTATTCTTCCATTATATTTTTGACTTTCCATTTTTTCCCAATGTCCACTTTTCTTCTTTTCTCATCTGTTGTTTTTTTTTTTTATCTTTTTTGTGTTCCTTCATTTTTTTTATTGGTTTATAAATACCTCTTTCCAAATAACCATTTTTTTTTCTCTTCTCATATTTCGGCTTTGACTGTTTCCTTGTTATTTTGTACCACCTTTGTCTTTCTTTCTTATCCCTCTGTGACTGTGTTGCTGCCATTGCTCACCTGATAAGCAAGATTTTAAGTACTGTGCAATTAGTGCAGGAAATGAAATTGGCAAGCAGTGTTCAAATTGGAATGGAGTCTTCTATTGCATTCATGCCTTTAGAAAAGGCATAAATCTATCACTTTGCCCAGTAGTGCATATCTTTGGGAGTCTGTGCTACAAAGTAGACATTCTAAGTTAAATTTCTTGAAAGAAGAGGAAAAAAAAGAAGAGGAGGAAAAAAAAGAAGAAAGATGCAAGATGAAGAAAGATGGAAGATGAAGAAGAAAAATCGAAAGAAGATGAGGAAGTAGAGAAAGAAAAAAGATAAAGAGAACAGAAGAAAGAAGAAGAAAAGAAAA